TCTGAAAAAGAAAGAAGTTGTGTGTCAAGATAAACTTCAATAGATCTAACACAAACATCGTGTGTGTATTGTGTTCGGCACCCCTTTTCCCAAGGAAGTATTTAATGTGTTCAAGCCCGCTTAGGTGTGGTATGGAGGAGTATAGGGCTTCCACATCCAGACTGCAGAGTGCCGCTCCCCTAGGTACCTTAAGTGATGTTACACATTTTAAGGTATCTTTGGTATCCTTCAAGTATGATGGCAAGTTTTTAACAAATGGGCGTAAAATTCTATCCACATATATGCTCCCTTTGCTTGTAAAGTTATTTGTACCTGATACAATTGGTCTTGCTGTCAGGTTTACTTGTTTCTTATGTATTTTGGGGAGACAGTAGAATGTGGAGATGGTTGGATTTTTAATGTAGATGTTTGCATATTCCTCCTTTGATAATACCCCCTGATCAAAAGCTTGATCCAGAAGGATTTTATATTCCCTTTGATATTTCTGGGATGGATCCATCGTTAGTGGTTTATAGGTGCCTTCATCTAGGAGAATGGCCTCCACAATCTGCACATAGTGTTGTCTGTTTAAAAGGACAATGTTGCCGCCTTTATCGGCGGGCTTAATGATGATTTTATCATTGTCCCTAAGTTCGCATAGTGCCCTCCATTCATTCTTTGGTAAGTTCTCCCTGGGTTTCACTGTCAGCATGTCTGTATTTAAGGTTTTGATCATATTAGTAGTGGATTCTATAAAAGTATAGATATTGTTAAACTCTCTAAAATTAGGAGTGAATTTACTTCTTGTACAGAGATCAGTATAGGGTGCTGTGGGGGTGGTGTCATTATCTTCCAACAGAGACACCAGTTCCTGCAGACATTGGTATTCTCTGGGATTAAATCCAAGTTCTTTTGCTCTTTTATCATCTTTTAGTTTAAAGTGCTTGTGTAGGGCTAGTTTCCTTCCGAACAGATTTATGTCCTTTATCCAATCAAACTGATTGAATGGGGGGGTCGGGACAAAAGATAAACCTCTCATTAATACCTTAGTTTGTGTAGGAGTGAGAGTGATATCAGACAGGTTGACTACTCTCAAGTCGTCAATTAATACTGTCTGCGTGCTCTGCCTCGGTAACGGGTCTGCCTTTGAGTTTGGACTTCCCCCTCTCGGGGGGGCTGTCCTAAAAAAGCCACCCCTTTCTTGAGGATTCCCTTATTAGATTGTGCGGTGATATCTGTTGGAACCGAGATTGATTCAGCATCCGTATCAGATGTGTCATAGTCTGAAGTCATATAGTGGTCAGAGTCAGCCCTGGTGGTTTTCTTAAACCGTCGATATACCTTTCCATTCTTATAGTCATCATTATCTCTAATAAATTTACCATGCTTTCTACTTTTGACATTATTCTGATATTTGGTAAGGTTCTGTTGCAATCTTTGTTCCTGTGAGGCAAAGGAGGGGTCATCTTTACAACTCTGTATCCCTTCTATAGCTACATTGACTTTTTCATTCACAGTTTTTAACCGTTCTGATTCGAACCTTTGTAGAATATCCATAAATTTATTGGAGCAGGAATTTGCTGCGTCCTCCCATTCTTTCAAAAGTAATGGGTCATCCATCTCTATATTAGGGATGGTCTGAATTCTCAGACCTCTGGGAATCATTGACTTACTTATATATTTTTGAAGTGAAGTCACCTCCCACCCTAACCTGATCTGCTGTTTGCAAAGGTTTGATAGCGTTCTAAACTTGGCATTTATGTTGTCTTGTTCAGGTAGGTATGTTACGTCTTTATCAGAAAAAACTGAATCTATGTCCGTACACCACTGATTAGACTCCTTTAACTGGGATAGGAAATTAGTCATGATGAACTGGTCTCTGTATTGTATTAGTGATAATGTAATGACACACTTAACGGTATTGAAACCTCTAACAATAGAAATGAAAACTGTAGAAGGAAGGGAAGGCACCTGGATGCCAAAATCCCAACTTAGGGGTGTGTCGAACTTTCTTTTAGGGGATAACCCTTGTATATACACAGTAGGTAAGTAGATAGGTGAGTGATCCTAAGCTAGAAATAGCAATAGGAGCTCAAAAAAGAAAGTTCAGCAAAAGATGCTAATATGACATATATCTAAAAAATAGCTTTATTGGAAAAGGGTCTACCCGAGGTATGATCCCTAATAAAAGAGATAGGCTTAATTAAACTAAATACACCATAACCACTAAAACGTAATGATATACATTGGGAGTAGTGGACTCCAACACATAATCTAGAGAGAGAGCTGGAAAGAAAATATCTGTAGCCACAATACTAATATCGAGCAGCAAGGATCCCTAAACATCAATCCTGATATGTACAGGCCCATATATGGTGAAAGAGTAAGAGAGGAAAAGACTAGAGTACAGAATATGTCTGTATCTGTCTGACTGCCAGACAGGATATTAAATACTGAAACAGTATCAATAGAGCATTCACTCAGATGTCAGCACAGAAACAGTGTATCTCCTCAATATGAAAATAATTGGCTTAGACACTGCTAATTGCATGCGAAAAGCCCGGTCTGTCAAAGGAGATCAAAATAGTTGCTGACTGCTAGCGCTGCTCGTGTAAGGCGTTTCTAGTTGATCCTGTAAAGGAAAAAAGATTCTACTCTCCTTCTATGCTGCTCATCACAGATGGCTATTAACAGCTAATATAACTAGATATAGGAGTCCATAGTCCCCACCCTGTGATCACATCTACGAGGTGAAAAGTTTAAAATAAAAGAAGAAAAGGACCTAACGCACGTTTCGGCGCTCTACAAGCGCCTTTGTCAAAGGTAAATTCGATATGGCTCATAACTCCGTTTAAATATCCCACCTCATCCTTCAGTAGCCAATCGGATCCAGGGGCGTGTTCTACAGTTCGCGCCAAGAGATACCGACGGCAGAGGGATGTCAGTCAAGTATTGTCACGCCCAATGTGTGTAGACGGAGGTGGGGAGTCTCCAGCCGAATCATGTTGGCATGGAGACAGGACCTCCCACACTATGCCGGGCGTAGATGCCCATAATGTACAGTAAGGGGGAGCATAACTACCCACACGGAGGAGGAAAACACCCCCGCTCAAATGAAACATTGCCCCTAACGCATGTGTGTCAAAATGTTAGGATAGGCAATATGGGGACTCCAAAGGAGTAAGGTATGATATAACTAGAGATAGGAGACTGGCAAATTGAGGATTATAAATACTCTTTCAGACACATATACCTATATGTCCAGTAGGGTTTACCCTGCAAGTCTTAGTTTAGAGTGAAAGCATACCTTTCCATTGGGGGAGGTGATAAGAGATCCAGGGGTGAAGAGTGCTGAAAGTAGACCCCTTGCTTGGTAGAGCGATAGGGATGATTAATCCCAGGTGGAATAAATATGGAAAATGGTATTATATCGAAAGAACAGAAAGTAGTGAAAATCTCAAAGGAGCTATTAAAGTGATAGAGTATGATTAATAGCAACGCAACACATATCTTTATACATAAACTCAGTTCATCAAATTTCAATGAATGGGGTAAAGGTGAAACCTCATTAGATGTATAGCCAACTACGATGCGGGTTGGACCAAAATGAGACACGTGATTGGCCGCTTTTGGCCATTACTCACACAAGACCTCCACCTTAAAGACATAATCCCACCGAAAGTATCCATTACAGCCAGGAGAGGCAGGAATATGAAAGAAATACTCGTACCTAGCCACTTCTCTGGCCTTAAAAAATCTAATACCACCTGGATGAACATACAGGGCACATACCAATGTGGGCGTTGTGTCGCATGTATGTACATAGCCAAAGGTTCCAAAACTCTTACGAATTCTACTGACTCTGACACAATTAATGTAAGACAGTTTTTTAACTGCAATACCACAGGAATCGTCTACTTACTGACATGCAAATGCGGCTTAAAATATGTAGGCAAAACTATACGCCCATTTAAGAAACGCATCATGGAACATGTCCACTCTGTAACTTCGAACAGAGATACGCCAGTAGCCAGACATATCAGAACACAGCATCCCGATACCCCTAACTGCATCAAGTTTTCAGGAGTGGAAAAGGTAGCACTAGGCAAAAGAGGGGGTGATCTTGATCAGATCCTTAAAAGAAGGGAATGCTATTGGATATACAGGCTAGATACACTAGCCCCCAAAGGATTGAATGAGGGTTTCACCTTTACCCCATTCATTGAAATTTGATGAACTGAGTTTATGTATAAAGATATGTGTTGCGTTGCTATTAATCATACTCTATCACTTTAATAGCTCCTTTGAGATTTTCACTACTTTCTGTTCTTTCGATATAATACCATTTTCCATATTTATTCCACCTGGGATTAATCATCCCTATCGCTCTACCAAGCAAGGGGTCTACTTTCAGCACTCTTCACCCCTGGATCTCTTATCACCTCCCCCAATGGAAAGGTATGCTTTCACTCTAAACTAAGACTTGCAGGGTAAACCCTACTGGACATATAGGTATATGTGTCTGAAAGAGTATTTATAATCCTCAATTTGCCAGTCTCCTATCTCTAGTTATATCATACCTTACTCCTTTGGAGTCCCCATATTGCCTATCCTAACATTTTGACACACATGCGTTAGGGGCAATGTTTCATTTGAGCGGGGGTGTTTTCCTCCTCCGTGTGGGTAGTTATGCTCCCCCTTACTGTACATTATGGGCATCTACGCCCGGCATAGTGTGGGAGGTCCTGTCTCCATGCCAACATGATTCGGCTGGAGACTCCCCACCTCCGTCTACACACATTGGGCGTGACAATACTTGACTGACATCCCTCTGCCTCGGTATCTCTTGGCGCGAACTGTAGAACACGCCCCTGGATCCGATTGGCTACTGAAGGATGAGGTGGGATATTTAAACGGAGTTATGAGCCATATCGAATTTACCTTTGACAAAGGCGCTTGTAGAGCGCCGAAACGTGCGTTAGGTCCTTTTCTTCTTTTATTTTAAACTTTTCACCTCGTAGATGTGATCACAGGGTGGGGACTATGGACTCCTATATCTAGTTATATTAGCTGTTAATAGCCATCTGTGATGAGCAGCATAGAAGGAGAGTAGAATCTTTTTTCCTTTACAGGATCAACTAGAAACGCCTTACACGAGCAGCGCTAGCAGTCAGCAACTATTTTGATCTCCTTTGACAGACCGGGCTTTTCGCATGCAATTAGCAGTGTCTAAGCCAATTATTTTCATATTGAGGAGATACACTGTTTCTGTGCTGACATCTGAGTGAATGCTCTATTGATACTGTTTCAGTATTTAATATCCTGTCTGGCAGTCAGACAGATACAGACATATTCTGTACTCTAGTCTTTTCCTCTCTTACTCTTTCACCATATATGGGCCTGTACATATCAGGATTGATGTTTAGGGATCCTTGCTGCTCGATATTAGTATTGTGGCTACAGATATTTTCTTTCCAGCTCTCTCTCTAGATTATGTGTTGGAGTCCACTACTCCCAATGTATATCATTACGTTTTAGTGGTTATGGTGTATTTAGTTTAATTAAGCCTATCTCTTTTATTAGGGATCATACCTCGGGTAGACCCTTTTCCAATAAAGCTATTTTTTAGATATATGTCATATTAGCATCTTTTGCTGAACTTTCTTTTTTGAGCTCCTATTGCTATTTCTAGCTTAGGATCACTCACCTATCTACTTACCTACTGTGTATATACAAGGGTTATCCCCTAAAAGAAAGTTCGACACACCCCTAAGTTGGGATTTTGGCATCCAGGTGCCTTCCCTTCCTTCTACAGTTTTCATTTCTATTGTTAGAGGTTTCAATACCGTTAAGTGTGTCATTACATTATCACTAATACAATACAGAGACCAGTTCATCATGACTAATTTCCTATCCCAGTTAAAGGAGTCTAATCAGTGGTGTACGGACATAGATTCAGTTTTTTCTGATAAAGACGTAACATACCTACCTGAACAAGACAACATAAATGCCAAGTTTAGAACGCTATCAAACCTTTGCAAACAGCAGATCAGGTTAGGGTGGGAGGTGACTTCACTTCAAAAATATATAAGTAAGTCAATGATTCCCAGAGGTCTGAGAATTCAGACCATCCCTAATATAGAGATGGATGACCCATTACTTTTGAAAGAATGGGAGGACGCAGCAAATTCCTGCTCCAATAAATTTATGGATATTCTACAAAGGTTCGAATCAGAACGGTTAAAAACTGTGAATGAAAAAGTCAATGTAGCTATAGAAGGGATACAGAGTTGTAAAGATGACCCCTCCTTTGCCTCACAGGAACAAAGATTGCAACAGAACCTTACCAAATATCAGAATAATGTCAAAAGTAGAAAGCATGGTAAATTTATTAGAGATAATGATGACTATAAGAATGGTAAGGTATATCGACGGTTTAAGAAAACCACCAGGGCTGACTCTGACCACTATATGACTTCAGACTATGACACATCTGATACGGATGCTGAATCAATCTCGGTTCCAACAGATATCACCGCACAATCTAATAAGGGAATCCTCAAGAAAGGGGTGGCTTTTTTAGGACAGCCCCCCCGAGAGGGGGAAGTCCAAACTCAAAGGCAGACCCGTTACCGAGGCAGAGCACGCAGACAGTATTAATTGACGACTTGAGAGTAGTCAACCTGTCTGATATCACTCTCACTCCTACACAAACTAAGGTATTAATGAGAGGTTTATCTTTTGTCCCGACCCCCCCATTCAATCAGTTTGATTGGATAAAGGACATAAATCTGTTCGGAAGGAAACTAGCCCTACACAAGCACTTTAAACTAAAAGATGATAAAAGAGCAAAAGAACTTGGATTTAATCCCAGAGAATACCAATGTCTGCAGGAACTGGTGTCTCTGTTGGAAGATAATGACACCACCCCCACAGCACCCTATACTGATCTCTGTACAAGAAGTAAATTCACTCCTAATTTTAGAGAGTTTAACAATATCTATACTTTTATAGAATCCACTACTAATATGATCAAAACCTTAAATACAGACATGCTGACAGTGAAACCCAGGGAGAACTTACCAAAGAATGAATGGAGGGCACTATGCGAACTTAGGGACAATGATAAAATCATCATTAAGCCCGCCGATAAAGGCGGCAACATTGTCCTTTTAAACAGACAACACTATGTGCAGATTGTGGAGGCCATTCTCCTAGATGAAGGCACCTATAAACCACTAACGATGGATCCATCCCAGAAATATCAAAGGGAATATAAAATCCTTCTGGATCAAGCTTTTGATCAGGGGGTATTATCAAAGGAGGAATATGCAAACATCTACATTAAAAATCCAACCATCTCCACATTCTACTGTCTCCCCAAAATACATAAGAAACAAGTAAACCTGACAGCAAGACCAATTGTATCAGGTACAAATAACTTTACAAGCAAAGGGAGCATATATGTGGATAGAATTTTACGCCCATTTGTTAAAAACTTGCCATCATACTTGAAGGATACCAAAGATACCTTAAAATGTGTAACATCACTTAAGGTACCTAGGGGAGCGGCACTCTGCAGTCTGGATGTGGAAGCCCTATACTCCTCCATACCACACCTAAGCGGGCTTGAACACATTAAATACTTCCTTGGGAAAAGGGGTGCCGAACACAATACACACACGATGTTTGTGTTAGATCTATTGAAGTTTATCTTGACACACAACTTCTTTCTTTTTCAGAACAAATACTATCACCAGGTGCAGGGAACAGCGATGGGGACGTCTTGTGCCCCTTCCTATGCCAACCTGCACCTGGGATGGTGGGAAAGAGAGATTGTATTTTCAGAGCAATATTCCAAATTTACGGACTTCATATTTCTATGGAAGCGATACATAGATGACGTCCTAATTATTTGGACGGGTACTCAAACTCACTTCAATACCTTCGTGGAAACACTCAATACGAATGATCTCAATCTGAGATTCACCATGGAATATGGTGATCAGGAACTTAACTTCCTTGACTGTACACTCAGGATAGCTAAGGACGGTGATATTGAGACCACTCTATATCGTAAATCTACGTCCACAAATAACTTGCTGAGATGGGAAAGCTATCATCCCACTCCTTTAAAGAGAGGAATCCCGGTGGGTCAATACCTAAGGTTAAGAAGGAACTGTTCATCCACTGAGGACTTCAAACATAAAGCCACTGAATTAAGACAGAGATTTAAACAGAGAGGATATCCGATTAGATGTCTAAAACAGGCCTACCAGAGGGCTTTAAACTGTAACCGTGGGGAATTGTTACAAGATAAACCCATCTTTGAGTCAAAAAAACTCATTAGATGTATAGCCAACTACGATGCGGGTTGGACCAAAATGAGACACGTGATTGGCCGCTTTTGGCCATTACTCACACAAGACCTCCACCTTAAAGACATAATCCCACCGAAAGTATCCATTACAGCCAGGAGAGGCAGGAATATGAAAGAAATACTCGTACCTAGCCACTTCTCTGGCCTTAAAAAATCTAATACCACCTGGATGAACATACAGGGCACATACCAATGTGGGCGTTGTGTCGCATGTATGTACATAGCCAAAGGTTCCAAAACTCTTACGAATTCTACTGACTCTGACACAATTAATGTAAGACAGTTTTTTAACTGCAATACCACAGGAATCGTCTACTTACTGACATGCAAATGCGGCTTAAAATATGTAGGCAAAACTATACGCCCATTTAAGAAACGCATCATGGAACATGTCCACTCTGTAACTTCGAACAGAGATACGCCAGTAGCCAGACATATCAGAACACAGCATCCCGATACCCCTAACTGCATCAAGTTTTCAGGAGTGGAAAAGGTAGCACTAGGCAAAAGAGGGGGTGATCTTGATCAGATCCTTAAAAGAAGGGAATGCTATTGGATATACAGGCTAGATACACTAGCCCCCAAAGGATTGAATGAGGGTTTCACCTTTACCCCATTCATTGAAATTTGATGAACTGAGTTTATGTATAAAGATATGTGTTGCGTTGCTATTAATCATACTCTATCACTTTAATAGCTCCTTTGAGATTTTCACTACTTTCTGTTCTTTCGATATAATACCATTTTCCATATTTATTCCACCTGGGATTAATCATCCCTATCGCTCTACCAAGCAAGGGGTCTACTTTCAGCACTCTTCACCCCTGGATCTCTTATCACCTCCCCCAATGGAAAGGTATGCTTTCACTCTAAACTAAGACTTGCAGGGTAAACCCTACTGGACATATAGGTATATGTGTCTGAAAGAGTATTTATAATCCTCAATTTGCCAGTCTCCTATCTCTAGTTATATCATACCTTACTCCTTTGGAGTCCCCATATTGCCTATCCTAACATTTTGACACACATGCGTTAGGGGCAATGTTTCATTTGAGCGGGGGTGTTTTCCTCCTCCGTGTGGGTAGTTATGCTCCCCCTTACTGTACATTATGGGCATCTACGCCCGGCATAGTGTGGGAGGTCCTGTCTCCATGCCAACATGATTCGGCTGGAGACTCCCCACCTCCGTCTACACACATTGGGCGTGACAATACTTGACTGACATCCCTCTGCCTCGGTATCTCTTGGCGCGAACTGTAGAACACGCCCCTGGATCCGATTGGCTACTGAAGGATGAGGTGGGATATTTAAACGGAGTTATGAGCCATATCGAATTTACCTTTGACAAAGGCGCTTGTAGAGCGCCGAAACGTGCGTTAGGTCCTTTTCTTCTTTTATTTTAAACTTTTCACCTCGTAGATGTGATCACAGGGTGGGGACTATGGACTCCTATATCTAGTTATATTAGCTGTTAATAGCCATCTGTGATGAGCAGCATAGAAGGAGAGTAGAATCTTTTTTCCTTTACAGGATCAACTAGAAACGCCTTACACGAGCAGCGCTAGCAGTCAGCAACTATTTTGATCTCCTTTGACAGACCGGGCTTTTCGCATGCAATTAGCAGTGTCTAAGCCAATTATTTTCATATTGAGGAGATACACGGTTTCTGTGCTGACATCTGAGTGAATGCTCTATTGATACTGTTTCAGTATTTAATATCCTGTCTGGCAGTCAGACAGATACAGACATATTCTGTACTCTAGTCTTTTCCTCTCTTACTCTTTCACCATATATGGGCCTGTACATATCAGGATTGATGTTTAGGGATCCTTGCTGCTCGATATTAGTATTGTGGCTACAGATATTTTCTTTCCAGCTCTCTCTCTAGATTATGTGTTGGAGTCCACTACTCCCAATGTATATCATTACGTTTTAGTGGTTATGGTGTATTTAGTTTAATTAAGCCTATCTCTTTTATTAGGGATCATACCTCGGGTAGACCCTTTTCCAATAAAGCTATTTTTTAGATATATGTCATATTAGCATCTTTTGCTGAACTTTCTTCTTTGAGCTCCTATTGCTATTTCTAGCTTAGGATCACTCACCTATCTACTTGCAGGGCACTTGTCCTACTCTTACCCCCATTTTACTTCCTTTTGCAGCCCTCTAGCCCTTTCCAGGACTTTTATTAGAGGCATTTTATTGCCCAAAAGTTCAGGTCCCCATTGACTTCAATGGGGTTTTGGTTCGGGGTCAAGTTCGAGCCCGAACTGGAACTTTTTGACGAAGTTCAGCTGAACTTGGCGAACCCGAACATCCAGGTGCTCGCTCAACTATACTCCTACACTTAATAAAGCATTGGGGAAACCTTTTAGCTTCAGCTTATCCGTTGCTGAATCCATTATCTCCTGGAACTAGGTATTGGATAAGATAGTGGCTTTTGAACCAGTATCAATTCCCGCTTTGAAAGTTTGGAGTAGCGAATCCTGTATTTCTACAGACATGTAGTACCTTCCTTCATGTTCTTCTAACTCATGTAAGAATTTAGAATGCATCAATATTTCACTCGTTTTCCATATATTACTTGTTACAGCAGTAGTTTCTACCTGTACTGATGTATGCTCAGTCTTGCCCACTGCCCCATCCTTCTCAGTAACATCTTGAACTTTCAAGCGAGATCTAGTGGTCAGCATCTCATCTGTTAACTCTTTCAGGTTAGGGTCCAGGAAACTAGAGGCTGTTAGGGATGCTTTAGCCTTTGGCTGTAATAAAAAAAAAAGAGGGGAGCGATGTGGCTCCTTCACCCGAGGATGAAATGACAGGGTGGATAACCGTTTTCCCAACACAACTATTGTCTGACTGTGAGGATCTGGAAATAAATCAGGGTTAGGTATTACATCTATTGACAACCTAGGCTGTTGAGTCACATTGACTTTCATTGCTGTGGCACCTGCATTTGCTGGTTGGGTTGTTGTTGCAGTGCGATAGGTGGCTTTGTAAAAATGATTTGAGGGAAGGGCATGACTATGTTTAGTCAGTTCTTCCATTATTTTTCCCACCTGTTCAGTCAATTGATCTACCTGGTGAGACAAATTATCCCCATTGTTGTTCTTACTTTGTCAATTAGTTGGGCTGGGATGCTTGAGAATGTTGGTAGTTATTGGAAGCAGCTTGGTTATTTCTGTTTCCATAGTACCTCCTGTTTCCCTGAGGATTTCTTCTCCACTAAGAATTTCCCTTGTTTCTGTTAACCCAGGGACATTTCCCATTGGACCTGGAATTCTCAAAAACATTTTTAGGGGAATAATCAGAATTGTTAGTAACTTGTTCTTGTTTCTGTGGTTAAGGTGATTTAACTACTTGTGCATAAGTCCTTTCCTGCTTGGATACTAATCCTATCTGAACTTTAGTCTCTGACACAATTTTATCATTAGGTCTTTTTAACCTTTTGATCAGTCTCGTCATATGTGTGGTATATAGTATACAATGTCATACATTGACTGACTAGTCATTCTAAGGGTCATTTACAGTCATAATCTCTTGTGAGATTCCACTGTATGTTAACTGGCATGGCATAAAAATATAGATCTTTGAATTCTGTACTTTCATACCTGGGCTTCTTTTGGGCAATGGAATATTCATTTTTTTAAATTATTAAAAATTCTCTAGGGCTTTGATTTGGCCTACACTTTAGGTTATACAATGCCTGTTTAGCTGATGCTAGATTTCTAAATTTCCCAAATTCCATTATTACTACAGTTTTCATTTTTATGCAAGACATTAGTTGCATGCTTTGGAGCCCCTCTAGGTAAATACGGCACATTGAATCAAAAGTCCTTGTAATGTATCCCTTCTTGTAGATGATATCATACATGCCAAGTGAATTCATTGCTCTTTCATAGGAAAATTGTGGGACTTTCTCTTTAATAAATCTGATTACTTTTGGAGCCTGATAAACAGGAGTAGTAGACTTACGACTCTTGTCTTCGGTTTCCTTACTTTTATAAGAATGCTTGTTTGATTTACCTGCAATGGATGGATTAGGTCCTTGCAACATCACAGATTGTTTAGCAGACCTACAGAGTGGAGAATGGAATCACTTTCACTCCTATCACTCTAATCCACTCGCTTACTATCACCACTCTGATCAGCATCAGAATTTTGACAGTGCTTTGGGCCATGGTTTCTTTTACTCCTACCCTCTTTGTTCAGCTTATTTTTCTCATACTTGGCCAAGACAGACTTTTTAAACAGTTTCTGCCAAGATTGCATTTGTTCAGCAATTTCCTGAGAAAGAGAACTCTGTTCTGGGAAAGTTTTTGCATGCTTGACCAACACAGTCTTTTCAGATGGTGTTGGGAAAACTAGGCATGGTGTGGGGAAATCATAGTACAGATTTTTGGTACACTGTGGTGACTACTAGCCCCACTTTCTGATTGTTGACTCTCCTCTTCATATTCTTCCAATTGCTTTTTAAGCTGATTTATTTCCTGTGTTTATTTATCCGTCAGAACTTTCAGTTCTTTTTCATGATAAGCCTGACAGGTATTATACTCCGCAAGTAAATCTTGGAATTTCCCATCTTGAATTATCAGACTGTTCTGGTATGTGTCTAATATGGTATCAAGTATATGGTTCTCTTCTAACAGCTTTAGATGTCCAAGCACGAAGAAAGGCCAAGGATGCAATATGTTCTCCAATTACTTTACGATATCTCAGTATAGCTGAGTCGTTTTGAACAGTAGATTTTCTCTTTTTCTATCTGATTAACCCATTTTTCTTAGTCTCTATCAATCTTCATAGGACTATGAATTTTGATTAAGGTATGAAGTTTTAGGATTCAATCATTTACTCATTTTCTGTTAAAGATGGATTACTGGATTCAGCCTTTTTTATTCACTAAATTAATCTCAACACAAAATCCCTTTCTTATATCAAGATTAATGTAGCATATATTACACAAGTTTTTAGTTTAGTGCCTCCTTTTAGTATAAAATATTATTTTAACAGACTATCTCAGCAGTGCCTCCATGAATCTAAAGGCTAATGGTGGGGATTACGGATTATTAATTTTTATTAATTAAAATATTTTTATATAAATTAATAACCTTTATTAAAATATCGGAAATTGATATTTTATTGGCGCTATTCCCAATTATTAATTTAAAAGCATAGAGTTACTCACGAATTTAACTCTTAGAACTCAAGCACATTATTTGAATTTAATATTTCACACATTAATATCACAACTATTTATCAAAATTATAACATTTATTTTGTCAATAGGTGTAATCATACATGATAATTAGTGAATCAATTTTCAATGATAGTGAATGAAAATATGGCAGAGTATAGCATCACAGGACTATTTCAAACACTGTTTAAGTGATGTGATTGTTA